TATCAGATTCAAAATCTGATTGTTGTGACATGATGAAACGAGGATAAGATATATGTGGCTAGAGAGGAGGTATGGCTCAGAGACAGGTCAAGACCTGCTCTGATACCATGTGAAAATCATGTAAAAAGCAATAAAAGCCATGAAAAGATGAAGGGAAAGCTTGCTGCAAATAGCTAACATCATTTTATGAAAAACCAAAGGATAATAACATGATTCATGTTTTTCTACAGAGAGAGCAACATAGGTGCTGCCATATATAAAGCAAAGATAAAACCCTATCCAAAAGGGGAATGCCTAGGGGTTAATGATCATAGTACTGCTCAGCCAAACGGCTCTCTTTCACACAGCTATACTTTTGTCTTCATGCACACGTTAGAACTCGATCCAAAGGCTGTGAGTTGCTGTTGCTTTCCACATTGATCCAATGGCTGAGATGAGTGCATGGTACACAGGTCTTGTGTCCTTTCTTCATTCATGCTTTGCTCATGATGATCAATGGCTGGAAATGAAGCCACGTGTGCTTGAGGATTTCCAACAAATACTAATAATTTAGCGCTCGTAATTTTTGCAGGAGGAGACGAGGCCTGTCCCTCGAACAACCGAGCAGCTCGACAAGTTCAAGAAGAAGGGAACCGTGATGGTCGAGGAGTACTTCTTCAATGACGACCTCACTTCAACTGCCAACGAGCTTCGGGAGCTCGACTCTCCATCCCACCCCTTCTACTTCGTCAAGAAGCTCATCTCCACTGCCATGAACCGACACGATAAGGAGAAGGAGATGGCCTCCGTCCTCCTTTCTTCCCTCTACAATGACGTAATTACCCCTCAACAAGTCTACAAGGGCTTCCAAAAGCTCGTCGACTCCACCGACGATCTAATCGTCGACATTCGTGACGCGGTCGACGTGCTTGCCCTTTTCATAGCACGAGCTGTCGTGGACGATATTCTCCCTCCATCTTTCCTCACCAAAACAACAGCTTATCTGAAGAAGGACTCGAAGGGTGTCGACGTAATTAAGCGCGCCGAGAAGGGCTACCTTTCGGCCCCGCTCCACGCAGAAGTCATCGAGCGGTGCTGGGGCGGGAGTCGGAACAAGACGGTCGAAGACCTCAAGTCGAAGATCAACGACCTTTTGGTCGAGTACGTTGCGAGTGAAAACGTGAAGGAGGCTTGCCGGTGCACAAAAGACCTAAACGTCCCTCACTTTCACCACGAGATCGTGAAGCGCGCGATCCTCATGGCCATGGAGAGGCAAAAGGCCGAGGCCCGTCTTCTCGACCTCTTCAAACAGGTCACCGAGGATGGCCTGATCAACTCTAGCCAGATATCCAAAGGATTTGCACGAATAATCGACTCGGTCGACGACCTGTCGCTCGACATACCGAACGCGAAGGTCTTACTACAGTCGTTGATCTCGAAATCCGCATCCGAGGGCTGGCTCTGCGCCTCGTCACTAATCCCTCACCCCACCCCCGGGAAAACACACAGTCGAGGAAGTCAGACTCAAAGCGTTCAAGAAAAAGGCAGAGTCAATCGTGCGCGAGTATTTCCTCTCGGGTGACATATCGGAGGTGAGCTGCTGCCTCGAGTTCGAGAACACTTCATCCTCGCCCGAACTCAATGCGATCTTCGTGAAGAAGGTGATCACGCTAGCCATGGAGCGGAAGAATCGGGAGAAGGAGATGGCCTCAGTTCTGTTATCCTCCTTATGCTTCCCCTCGGAAGATGTGGTCACGGGCTTCGTAATGCTAGTCGAGTCGGCCGAGGGCACGACTCTCGACATCCCGGTGGCAGACGAGGACTTAGCCATGTTCCTAGCGAGGGCAGTCGTGGATGAGGTCTTGACCCCATACGAGCTGGAAGAAATTGGGTGCAACTTCCCAAGCCACAGCAGGGTCGTGGGGACGGCCGTGAGCCTTCTGAGGGCCCGGCTGTCGAGGGAGAGGATACTGAGGTGCTGGGGGTGTAATAACGGGGGGTCGGTGGAGGACGTGAAGGAGAAAATCGGGAAGCTGCTGGTGGAGTATGGGGCGGGAGGGAATGTTGGGGAGGTGTGCAGGTGTATAAAGGAGCTGGGGATGCCGTTTTTCCACCACGAGGTGGTGAAGAGGTGTGTGGTGATGGTGATGGAGAGGCGGAAGGAGAGGATGTGGGGGCTGCTCAGGGAGTGCTTTGGAATACAGCTCATTACGATGGGGCAGATGGGAAAAAGGTTCGCGCGGGTGGCCGAGGCCATCGATGACCTGGCACTCGACGTGCCGGATGTGAAGAGGCAGTTGGAGGGGTGGGTTAGGAGGGCGAGGGACGAGGGGTGGCTCGATGGGTCGTTCGCTTTCGGGTCTAACAGGGTTTCGGAGGTCTGAGATTGTGTGTGTGTGTTTGTTTTGGTCTTGTGTTTTAAGAAGAATTGTTCTATGTATTTGGCTTGCTGAAGAGATTTTGGAATGGAGGGGAAAGTTTATTATGGCAGTGGTTTCTTGATGGGTGCAGATAGTTAGAATTGGAAGTGTTTGCCTGTGTGTGTTGTTACTGAAGACTTCTGTTGGGCATTTAAATTAGTTTTAGTGTGTGTGATTTCTATTTCAAATGAAAGCGTGTGTCGTTTTTGTTACACTAGGAAGATGCACGTATAGCACAAGATATTTTTTTTTT